ATCTCTCGGTTTATATAGAGAGTCCAGAGAAAGAGCCGTGTGGCTTTGAGCGAAGTGCCATTTAAAGGTCGGAGATGTGTACTTACAGAACTAAGTGTGACTGGCAGACTTATTTCAGCCCTTTATTGAAACAATGTGGAAACGCTGCGGTAAATCTAAATGATTGTAGTACGGTGAATGCTCAAGGGAGCAGGTGCGCTTGACATCAACAGGCTCTCTTGTCTGTCTAATACAAATTTTTAAAAGAAACAAATCTCTACAAGACAACAAATCCCGGTGCTATCGAGATATTAAGATCTTATCGCAAGGGGGTCTGTGTCTTAATTAAGTTTCACACGTCGTTTGGATAGCTTCCGACTGATTCCAGCCCCATCAAGATTCCTGGTTGCCAGCTCTTTGAAGATTATGGCATGCGTTTACAAAAGCAAATCAGATCTGAGAGCCAATGAAGTGTTAAATTGATCAAACGGCACAAAACCATGGCGTTTATAAGTGGTGTAATGTTACTAACGCCAACACACCCCACCATTTCAGAGACTAATTTGAGCCACCTCTGCATTTTTTATTAGTTTTAGAGTCAACACAAAATCAAACTGAACCCTATTTACTTCCTTCATGTATCTTCCTGGCCTTATAAATGATTCATCAGTGCACATTCCAAATAAAAAAATATGTGTTTCTAATCTTTAATTAAAATCACTATGTCCATGCTATTTGGGCATTGTTTTAGCAAACTGGCATATGGTCTAACTCCATTCTGTTATGTTCATTTTTCAAAACCCAATCAAATCATTATGAATAAAATCAAGTACAAACTTAAATATTTGTTACACACACACACACACACACACACACACACACACAGTCAAACCTGTGTCAGAACAAATTCATCTTGATAATCACAAATGAATTACAGTAAAACCAAAATTTATTCAGACACCTTCAAAATTTCTCACATTATCACAGTTTATTCGCTATGGTTTAGAAAATGGTAACAAAATATGACCTCAAGAACTCAAGAGTTAAACTGTGTCAGAACAAATTCTTCTTGATAACTTTGATAGAACGGTATGTAATAAAGCATGGTCAGGTCAAAGTGTCAAATCAAATTTTTGGTCCCAAATTTTTTATCAATTTTACTGGTAGTCCACTGTATAAAGAATTTTTGGGTATAACATGTCACAGTTTATTTTATTTTGTTATCCTTACTTACATAAATGAACTATAGTGTCCAGCACCCACTAGTAAAAAAATATCAAAAATGATATCTGGTGCCTGAATAATTTTTGGTTTGACTGTATATACAGGTGCATCTCAAAAAATTAGAATATCGTAAAAAAGTTCATTTTTTTTGGTAGCTTATTTCAAAAAGTGAAACTGTCATATATTCTAGATTCATTACATGTAAAGTAAAATATTTCAAAAGTTTTTTTGTTTTTGTTTTAATTTTGATGATTAGAGCTTACAGTCAAAAATCCAGTATCTCAAATATTAGAATATTTACATTTGAGTTTCATGAAATGACCATTCCTACAGTATAAATTCCGGGTATCTATTGTTCTTTGAAACCACAATAATGGGGAAGACTGCTGACTTGGCAATGGTCCAGAAGACGATCGTTGACGCCCTCCACAAAGAGAGTAAGTCACAGAAGGTCATTACTGAAAGGGGTGGCTGTTCACAGAGTGCTGTATCAAAGCATATTAAATGCAAAGTTGACTGGAAGGAAGAAATTGGGTAGGAAAGGTGCACAAAGCAACAGGGATGACCACAAGCTTGAGAATAATGTCAAGCAAAGCCGATTTAAACACTTGGGAGAGCTTCACAAGGAGTGGACTGAAGCTGGAGTCAGTGCATCAAGAGTCACCACGCTCAGACGTCTTCAGGAAAAGGGCTACCAAGCCACTTCTGAAACAGAAACAACGTCAGAAGCATCTTACCTGGGCTAAGGAGAAAAAGAACTGGACTGTTGCTCAGTGGTCCAAAGACCTATTTTCAGATAAAAGTAAATTTTGCATTTCATTTGGAAATCAAGGTCTGGAGTCTGGAGGAAGACTGAGGAGGCACAGAATCCAAGCTGCTTGAAGTCCGGTGTGAAGTTCCCGAAGTCAGTGATGATTTGGGGTGCCGTGACGTCTGCTGGTGTTGGTCCATTGTGTTTTATCAAGTCCAAAGCCAATGCAGCCGTCTACCAGGAGATTTTGGAGCACTTTATGCTTTCATCTGCTGACAAGCTTTATGGAAATGCTGATTTCCATTTCCAGCAGGACTTTAGCACCTGTCCACAGTGCCAAAACTACTTCCAAGTGGTTTGCTGACCATGATATTACTGTGCTTGATTGGCCAGCCAACATGCCTGACCTGAACCCCATATGGAATCTATGGGACATTTTCAAGAGAAAGATGAGAAACAGTCGATCCAACAATACAGACAAGCTGAAGGCTCAATAGTGCCTCAGCAGTGCTACAGGCTGATCGCTTCCATGCCACACCTCACTAGCTGCGTTTCCATCCACCTATTTTATTCGTATTTTGGAATATCACATTAAAAAACGCTGTATGGAAACGCCAAGATGCGCATAAATTCTAAAAATGCACATAAAAAACATTTGAGTAGGATAAACTTTTTATCCTATAAGAAAAAATGTGTATTAACTACGATGGAAACACATTTACCAAAAATAAATTCCTCCATGCGCATCGAAAAAGTCATGTGACTTTGCGTTATGAGACGGGACTCGACTTGACTAGCAGTGGACTGATCTCGTTCACAGCATCTATATGTTGTTATGGTCATTCTGAAATGCCTGAGCAAAGTCTGTCGTCAAAGTATTTCTGTATAATTGTCTTACACGACTGCATTCCCAAACAGCAGCATCCACCTCCAAAAGCATTGACAGCATTTATTGTGTTACGTCTGCTCACTCTGAGGTGCAAGTAATTTATATCATATATGAAAATTATTATATTCAGTGGCTTCTCCTATATTCTTAGTGATATTTAGCAAGTTTAATTTGAATCTTTGGATGGAAACATAGCTACTGATGCTGTCATTTGTGCTAAAGGAGCCCCGACCAAATATTGAGTGCATAAATGAACATACTTTAAAGAACTTGAACTTTTATGTTTTGCAAATCCTTTTTTTTTATTGATCTTAGGAAATATTTTAATATTTTTGAGATACTGGATTTTTGACTTTCATGAGCTGTAAGCTCTAATCATCAAAATTAAAACAGAAAACTTTTTAAAATGTTTTCCTTTACATGTAATGAATCTAGAATACATGAAAGTTTCGCTTTTTGAAATAAGTTACAAAAAAAATGAATTTTTTCACGATATTCAAATTTTTTTAGATGCACCTGTATATATGTATATATGATTATCAAAGGCCCCGATATTCTTCAAGTGATTTTTTGTTGAGGAAGATGCACAGCAAATATTTATATATTATAAATGTAATATATTTACAGTATATATAAATTCTGTTTATTAATGGTTCAGTATTTGGTCATATGATGAAGTCAGTGGAGTCCAAAACAACTTTGGACTCCACTGACTCATTGTATGGACCAAAAAAAAAAAAAGAGAAAAAACTTAGTCATTTCTCAAAACATCTTCTTTTGTGTTCATACAGGGGTAGGGAAATCATTACAGAATTTATATTTTAAACTGAACTATCTTTTTAAGTAGGGATGCACCGCTACCGATACTGGTATCTGTATCGGGCCCAATACTGAGCTCCTGTACTCTTTATATTTTAAACTGAACTATCTTTTTAAGTAGGGATGCACCGCTACCGATACTGGTATCTGTATCGGGCCCAATACTGAGCTCCTGTACTCTTTATATTTTAAACTGAACTATCTTTTTAAGTAGGGATGCACCGCTACCGATACTGGTATCTGTATCGGGGCCCAATACTGAGCTCCTGTACTCATACTCGTTAAAATGCCCCGATACCAAACGCCGATACCACACAGCATGTGATAAGTGCCATATTCAGACAATGAAACACCGACAACAGCACAACAGACAGCAGAATGGAGTTATTAGAGATTAAAGATGTCTACGAAGTATATGTATGCAATGAATATAATGTTAAACATTCAGTATTAACGCCTGTATAGCTGAAGTGCGCGGAGTACTGGAAAAAGTGGTATCGGTGCATCCCTACTTTTAAGAAATCTGGTGAAATCTGGAAGTATATAAACGGTGTCCATCTGCCAAATGATGAGGGAAAAACAGGCAGATCCTGTGGTCCAACAAGACTCTGACTTGACTGAATCCCCTCTGAAAACAGATATTTTATTCCTAAAAGCAGTTGAAACTCTTAGTATACAACTGTACCGTATCATAATGGAATCCCATCTGAAACTCTTTCACTAATCTCCAAAAAAAAAACAAACAAAAAAACAGAGCAGTCACTTCTGTGTCACATTAACATTTCAATTACCTGATCCTTGTAACAACACAAAAGAAGAAAATGGGGGGTGTGCGGGGTGCATGAGCAGGTACAGCAGTCCAATTGCACCCCATGAATCATAGCGCATTAAAATGCAGTTTTTCCCTGATTAAGTGAAATGGTGCACGGCAGAACAGAGCCGCAGACAGGCCCAAATGGAGCTGATTTGTTCATGTGGCCTGAAGATAAGCAAAATGGACCACTCAGCTTGTATGGTGCATACACAAACACACACATCCGCACAGTCAAAATACACACACACACACACACACACACACACACAGAGCTCTCAGTGAAAAAGACGCCTGATATATTATCTTAGCCGTGCTTAATATGTCAGTGGGATGCAGTATTTTGCTAAATCATAAAGGAAAAAAGTGCACCGTTCTTTGTAATGCAAAATACATCAGCAGTACTGGACCGATATTGAGGATTGCGGTTTCATTTTGAAGGCAAAAGCTATTGACTAAAGATTTGCTTACTTTTCACTGATTATGGTAAATATTTTCAGCACATAAAAGCATGATATGCATCTTACCTGAAGGTGATAACATCCTCCAGCCGATGGCAGGTTCTGGTTTTCCGTTAGCCAGGCACATTAAAGTCACGTTGGAGCCTTCATTCACCACAAGGTCCTTCGACAGGTTCACGATCTTTGGAGGAACTGTAAAACACCAAAATTGTTAATATCTCAACAAATATATAGGTATATGTTTCAATTGTAAATGTCCCTGGTAGATAATGACACATGATACTCTTTATCATGAATACAGACTGCCATAATTAAGAAATCAATGGTCTTTTCCACAGAGCATAAATGTAACATTCAATAAACGTAACATTAATAACTCAAACAAACACACTAAGTATGATTTTTCTATCATATCACAGATCATTCTCAATCAGTTACCTCTCTTTAAAAATGATTCATATGTTTCTGGGTTGTTTTGTGCTTGATTTGATTTGGAAAACTTCAAATAAATTTAACAGAAAAAATCGGTAACATATTTCTTGGGTACTATTTCTATTTGGGGCTGAAAAATTGCAAACTAGACACATTTCACAAGGCTGATTTATTGATTGCCTTTGCAGTTTGAACACAATTTAAACAGACTGCAGAGCAAGCCACAATTCAGACCTGTATGAGGGCCTTGCAGATCTAAAAAAGTCTAGAACTCAGCAAAACTAAAGATGTTACAAATACCTTATTTAGTTACCCTACGGGGAATAGCGGTAAAGGGTGTCGACATCCTCTCTTCAGGAGAGCAAATTATGGCCTACTTTTCAAAAGGAGTGTTAAACATTTACTACAACACTCACAGACAAGTAGTACACTTTAGCACTTGGAATAAATTATTGATTTACATGCACTATCAGTCATTTTTTTTTAAAGAAATTAATACTTTTTAGTAAGTAAACTGATCAAAGGTAACAGTAAACACATTTATAATGTTACAAAACATTTCGATTTTAAATAAATGCTGTTCTTTTGAACTTTACATACATCAGAGAATCCTATAAAAAATGCATCACGGTTTCCACAAAAAATATTAAGCAACACAACTGTTTCCAACATTGATAATAAGAAGAAATGTTTCTTGAGCACCAAATCTGAATATTAGAATGATTTCTAAAGAATCTTGTGACACTGCAGATTGGAGTATTGATGGTGAAAATTCAGCTTTGCCAACACAAGATTAAACAAAATTTTAAAATATATAAAAAAAATAAATCAATTATTTTTAAAGTGCAGATAACTTTTTTTTTTGACTGTATTTGTGATCAAATAATCAAATAAAAAAAGAAATAATATTCCGATCTTAATGAGCCGAAACCTTTTAACAGTAGTGTGGACAGCCCTTTTCCCCCGTTTATTAGAAACAACCTTGAAGGAGACATTAATATGTATATTCAAATGAAGTGAAATCCAGAGGATCTGCTCTTAGAGGATCACCCAAGATTGTTGAGCTGTTGTTTTCGGCACAGGCACACTGAGGATTCACACATACTATTTTGAGTACAGAACCATGAATCCCTCCAATACCTTTACAAGCTTTTCCTCACAAAACCACGGCTCATATTATAAAAATCGTCCTGCAACATAAAGGTCAGTTAAGTTAAAGGTCAGTTCAGTATAATGTCTCCAATCTCTGGAGAGCATCCTGCACTTTTGCCTCGATGATGGCCGGCAAAATATGTTTGACTTGACTTCCGTAACGGTAGAATGAAGTCCTTTAGAGGCCATTAACTAATTCCCTCCACTGTAAATGAAGATCCACAACGAGCTGCCGCAGAAACGCTTCTGTTGAAAATTCATTCAATAAATGCCTTCAGGCGGCATACGCACAATATCTCCTTCCATGAAACCTTACAAAACAAAACACACAGTGTATGAGCACGCTGCTTTAAACAATTAGCATTATCATTAAGCGCTCAAAAGTGATGTTCTCAGTAAATGTAATAATAGGTGGCACTGATGGTGTGATCAGAAAAATACCAGTGTCGTTTGACACGTTCTGTTTTGCTATTGAATGCAGATATTATTTTGACACGTGTACTCTGTCAAGAGATTTGGTTTTGCATTTTAAAGCTGAGACAACTCAACAAAGGTTGCCGTCACCGTCTGAGCTGGTACTAACAAAGCCATGCAGTACCACCGTTTTATCCTGGTTTAGTCACTAAAGACATGTTCCTCCAGAGACACTTGGCTATAAATAATTCATTTAACGTCAGTCTAAGTGTACGTCCTCTTTATATGTGACAGAGATACATTCTTTTCTGATGATTTTCTTTTTTTTCCTACATATATTATTAAGGTCAAGTTCACAATGTTCTCTCTAAATCAAACCCAGACACCACGCTGAGCAAAAGATAATATTATAGGCCTACTTTGTACAGTGAAATTAAATTATCAAAGCTCAACATTGTCATTCGTAGAAATACAGAAGAGGACTGCAGACCAACAGCAATAACATCTTAACATACACTATTGTTCACAACGGTTTTTTTTAACAAGAATGCATTACATTTATTGAATACAAGAATACATTACATTTATTAAAGACATGTATAATGTTAAAAAAACATTTCTTTATCAAATATATTCTGTTTTTTTTTTTACTTTTATTTTTTAATAAATACTGAAAAAATAGCAGAGTTTCCACATAAAATTAAACGGCACAACTCTTCAACATTGATAATGACAAAAAGTTTTTCTTGAGCGGCAAATCAGCATATTAGAATGATTTCTGAAGGATCATGTGACACTGAAGACTGAAAATTCAGCTTTGCCATCAGAGTAATAAATTACACTTTAAAATATATTTAAATAGAAAATAGCTATTTTAAATCGTAACAATGCATCAATTTTTTTCCCCCCTGTATTTTTGATATAATAAATGCAGCTTTGGTGAGATTGAGAAAACTTCTTTCAAAAGAATTTAAAAACCATACCGACCCCAAAGTTTTGAACAGAGAAGTGCAGGGAATGTTGATGTATTATTTAATTATTGCAGATTCACATTGATTCACACTGAGAATTTAAACCTGATAATTATATTTACTTTTCTTTCCTGAATATATTAACACAATAACTGTACAACTATTATGAGATTAACTGTGATTAAATATTTTAAAGGACTGACAGCTTATTTTAATTATATTTCTTAAAGAAATTATAATTGCTGAATTTGTGTGCAGACTTTATAAGACATTCATTACTTTCATAATGCAGGACAAAAATAAAATGCTAAAAACTTCATCTAAATGCTAAATCTTTGGGCAGCAGCAAGAGCGGTGCGTTTGATTAGCTGCAGCCTAGAATGTTAAATGTGTTTTGCTCGCTGTTCTAAATATGGCAAACATAAAGTCATTCTGAAAAAAGAAAAGCATAAAAAGCTACGCGCACTATTTAGAGCCTCCACACAGCTCTTTAACGCCAGTTTCCAGCAAAAACTGCAGCAAACAAGCTCTGTTTATCGACAAACTGTAACAGTCACCAAAGGAACCATATGAAAGTTAATAAGAGAACTGTTTACAACGGCACCGTGACTCTCCGTATGACAATGACAGTCAGAGTGAGGAATGATTCTATCACTGCGTTTATGACTTGTGTCTTGGAACGATAGCGTGTATCTTTGTGAGCCATATTTCTGATATGGATGGCCGGAATGCAACTCAAAGCCATTTTCAAAGCCAATAAAGGGTTTACAATGACTGTTCTTCCTTTAAATTGCACATATTCTCACACAATCAGTAAAGGAACGTGGCTGTTTGTGTGTGTGTGTGTGTGTTTTCAGTAAGCCGTTTGTGTGTGTGTGTGTGTGTCTCCAGCCTCCATATGAGGTAAAGCATGTTAAATTGCATTTTAATAGAGTCGTACCATCCTCTTACTTTTGATGCCGGATTTCTGAGCTTCAAAGGGATCTTCAGTTGACAGGAGGAGCAATTGAATAGAAATAACTTGGCATATCGCAGTATATTCCCAAGATTTGACCTCAGCTTTCCCTAGCTGAGACGTGGGAATCCTCAGTAAGTCGTGATATGGATGATCATATATAAATATGATCTCACTAGCAAAACAAAACCACAAACACTACAAAAACTAAATTAACAGAAAAGCGTGCTATTCAGATATTAAGAGTTTTCGTTCGATTTAACAAAAGGACAAAAATCTGGCAGACCAGATCAACTGGCAATTTTTTCAACTATCCAGTAATGAGAACTTCATTATAATGATCAGCAGCAATTGGGAGCACCATTAATATGGTTAAGATTATTCCACTTATCATAAAATCATCACCACTAATTATTTTAGATGAAAAAAGAATGAAATGATAAAAGGACTGACATTTATCCTAGCCATAATTCTATTTTCCATTAAGGGGCTAAAAACAACAACAATAATAATAAAAACAACAACAATAAATAAATGTTAACTGAAATAAAACAAAATAAAATAAAAATAAACTTTAGTTTATTTCACCCAGTTGGCAGAGCAACATTATTCATTTTCATTTGGTTTAATTTGAAGTAGGGCTGGACAATAATTCAATATCAATATGTATCGCGATATAATTTTTTTCAATAACGGTGATATGATTTTTAAACACATTTCCGATATTTCGATATACATTACCAGTGTTTCCCATACATTGATTTATTTGTGCCGTTTGACTTCGTTGAATAAACATGAGCACTGCACGTTTCAAAATCAAAAAATGTCGCGGGTGTTTTATATAAATGTATCTGTGAAGGGAACCGACTGTCTTCAGAAAAGTTTCGATGGCATTTTCATTTGATCTGATAAAGGATAAAGGCATTTATAATGTTACAAAAGATTTCTATTTCAGATAAATAGTGTTCATATCGATATCGGAATTATATCGTATCGACCGAAATTAAGAAACATATCGTGATATCAATTTTGGCCATATCGTCCAGCCCTAATTTGAAGCATCAAAATAATTAGAAACATAACACAAACAATAATAATAAAAAACAGACTTTAAATTTTTTTTTAGCAGTAAGTAATAAAATTAACTAAATAACTAAACTTAACTAAAATTAAAACTAAACAAAACACAAAATTAAACATAAACATATATGTATATATATACAGGGCCGTTTCTAGCCAATTTGACGCCCTAGGCGAAATCCCTATTG